CGCACCTGGGATACCTGCATTTGGATTCCTGCATTCATCTTAAATCAGTGGTTCTCAACCTTTTTAATGCTGCGACCCCCAACCGGTCGTAAGTCAAGGACTAAACCGGTCATAAGTCGAGGACTAAAGCAGTTGTAAGTCGAGGACTACCCAACCAGTCATAAGTCGAGGACTTTCCCTGCCCAGGAGAGCTGCGCATGCGTGGTGCCGCCCCCTGCATTGGCCAAGGCATAGCTGGCAAGCGGCAGAAACGGAGCAGGCTGACCACTGGCTGGGCCACCAGCTGGCCCAGCCCAAGGGAGGTAAGGCACCCACCGGAAAGGGGGGAAAAATGGCGGACAGCCTTGCTTGGCGACCCCCGTGAAATGGTCGATCGACCCCAAATGGGGTTGCGACCCATAGGCTGAGAACCGCTGTCTTAAATGGACTTAAAACACCTCCAATATTTGAAATAATTGGAGCAATCTTCCAATATCTCAGGGGTTGCCACGAAGAAGGGGGGGGGGTATCAACCTATTCTCCAGAGCACCAGAAGGCAGGACAAGAAGCAATGAATGAAAACTAACCAAGGAGAGAAGCAACCTGGAACTAAGGAGAAATTTCCTGACAGAACAATTAATCAGTGGAACAACCTGCCTCCAGAAGCAGTGAATGCTCCAGTACTGGAGGGTTTTTAAGAACAAATTGGACAACCATTTGTCTGAAAGGGTATAGGGCAGAGGTCCCCAACCTTTTGGGCATCATGGACCAGTTCTGTGGAGAGAGAGGACTGGAGGGTGCGTGATTTTGTGTGCTGCCTGCATCCTGCTGGTGGGGCTTGTTTGTGCGAGACCAGTTGCTGGCATGCTGCAGCCCAGTACTGGTCCACGGACCAGGGGTTGGGGGACCCCTGGTATAGGGTCTCCTGCTTGAGCAGGGGGCTGGACTAGAAGACCTCCAAGGTCCCTTCCAACTCTGCTATTCTATAATTCGGTAAGGGTCTTACTGCCTGAGCAGAGGGGTTAGACTATAAACCTCCAACTTTGTTATTCTGAAATATATCAAGGTAATTATAATTTAGTAGCTGACCGGCAGAAGTGATATATAGAGCAGAGGTCTCCAACCTTGCTAACTTTTTTTTTTATTAAAAGTTTTAAAGATTTTATACAATATATATCCCAAAGCCCTCCCACCCCTCCCACCCCTCCCCCACTTCCCAGAGCAGATTACAGGGTTACAAATAAACAATCATAATCTAACTAACATTACCCAACTATACAAACAATCAAATCCATAACATACTTTAACTCCTTTTCAAAATAAATATTAACAAATTAAATACGAAAATAATAATACAATTAAACCATAAAACTAAGACTAATATAAGCTCTACCATATTAAACTATTAATAATAATCTAAAATTTACTCATAAGCTAGATAATAGTTTTTAGTCTCATATTTATTCTGAATATAATCTATCCATCTTCTCCAAACCGAAATATATCTTTCTTGTGAGTAGTCCTTTCAAATAAGCGGAAATTTTTGCCATTTCTGCTAAATTAGACACCTTAAGTATCCATTCTTCCACAGCAGGCAAAGAATCTTTCTTCAAATATTGCCCCACCAATAATCTTGCAGCTGTTATAAGATTCAACATCAAATTAATTAATTTTTCAACCTTGCTAACTTTAAGACTTGTGGACTTCAACTCCCAGAATTCCTCAGCCAGCTTGGCTGGCTGAGGAATTCTGGGAGTCGAAGTCCACAAGTCTTAAAGTTGCTTAAGTTGGGGACCTCTGATACAGAGAGTATTTGGAGGGGGGTAATATCCCTTTAAGAGACTGTGTCTGAGGACAATTGCAGTTGGAATCTTCTTACTCACTTGAACCACTTGAATATAAGTGACTATCTTCTATTCTGTATGCTCCCTGTAAATTGTTGTTTCTTATTGTATATTAAACCACAGCTTTTTTAAAAATATATATGTTTTATTGATTTTTAACATACACCTTAATATTTGGTAAACATCGTGTTGTCTGGGTTAATGTTTAAAAAACAATAACAATTAATTTCTATAATTCTATAGTCCGTATGATAGCCTTCCATGATTTCCTCTTCTTCCAATAATATTCTCTTTTGCCAGCCTTAAGTTAATACAATTCTTATTTAAATAAATGACAATTAAATATAAACATTTTTCTCATGTTTCTGCAAGTAATAATCACATCAATATAAAGCTTCTTTTCAAGTACAGCTTTTATATCATTCTAGTGCTTTATTTTAAAAAATGACTCAGGCCCTCAAGCATTGATGGGCAGTGCAGAAATTGGATAAAAAATAAAATAAAGTAAAAAAATAGACTAGACTAGACTAGACTAGACTAGACTAGACTAGACTAGACTAGACTAGACTAGAATTAAAATAAATAAGCTCAGTGACAGATATAGCCAGCCAAAGGATAAACTTGGTCAACCTTAACCTTGCTTAGGTTCTTTTGAGATCTCCATATCCCAAGAAGTCCACTGGGTTATGTCTTCAGCTTCTCTCTATGAGGACATAAACAATGCTGTGATGTCATGGCCCCTGAGGGTAGATATATAAAGGCAAAGTTGAGGAGAGGAATGTTGAGGAGAGTTGAGGAGTGGAGAGGAGAGGAGCATTTTGTTGAGTTCATTTGAGAATAGTTAAGTTGCAGAGAGGAGAGTGGAGTGGAGTGGAGTGGAGGAGAGCGGAGGAGAGTGGAGGAGAGTGGAGTGGAGGAGAGCAGAGGAGAGTGAAAGAGAGCTGAGTGGAGTTGAGGAGATTTGAGGAGAGGAGATAAGAGGAGAGGAGATAAGAGGAGAGGAGAGGAGAGGAGGCTAAGGAGCTTTTTATGAGTGTGGAAATCCAGCAAGCAAAGAATAGAAGTTTGCAAAATTTGGAAGATTAGAAGATCAGGTAAAACTGCACCTTGATTCTGTAGATTATTATCATAATCATTATTATTATCATTATTATTATAGGGGATGGGATGGGGTGGGATTGGGTGGGATGGAGTGGAGTGGAGTGGAATGGAACAAGACAAGAAAGAACAGAGAATGTAATAGAGGAATTCTTTATTTGTCCAAGTGTGATTGGACACACAAGGAATTTATCACCGGTGCCAAACCTCCGGTGTATGTATAAAGAGCAGGTCAGAGGTCATAATCATAGTTACAATAATTAATCATAAGTTACAAACAACCGTTGGTAAATCAAAAGAAACCTGTGGGAGAAGATAGTAGGAAAGATGAGAAGATGAGAAATGAGACAGCGCTGTGGGAATTAAGGGTTAGTAATAGTAGTAAAGTTGGAAGGGACCTTGGAGGTCATCTAGTCCAACCCCCTGCTTGGGCAGGAAACCCTACACCATTTCGGACAAATGGCTGTCCAGTCATGGAGGAAAAAAATTATATGTCTAGTTGTTTTGGCATGCAATATTCTATAGTGGTGGTCCGAGGAAACAAGTTGAAACAGTTTGTGTCCAGGATGTGAGGGGTCTGTAGAAATTTTCTCAGGCCTCTTTCTGGCTCGTCCAGTGTACAGGTCCTCAGTGTAAGACAGGCTGGGTTGCGACTGTTTTTTTCTGAAATCCTAACTATCTGTTGAAGTCTGCGTCTGTCTTGTTTGGTTGCTGTACTAAACCAGACAGTTATAGAGGTCCAAATGGCAGTACCTCAATAATTACTCTATAAAACCCCATCAGCAGCTGCTTGGTTAGCCTGAACTTCCTGAGCTGGCACAGGAAAAACATTCTTTGTTGTGCCTTTTTAACAATGCTTCTAATGTGAGGTGTCCATTTTAAGTCCTGGGAGATTATAGAATCCAGAAACGGGAAGGTCTCTACTGTTGATCCTGTGTTGCCTAACATTGTAAGACATACGTAGGCAGGCAGACAGAGAGATAGAGAGGTAGGTAGGTAGGTAGGTAGGTAGGTAGGTAGGTAGGTAGGTAGGTAGGTAGGTAGGTAGATAGATAGATAGATAGATAGATAGATAGATAGATAGATAGATAGATAGATAGATAGATAGGAGATAGAGGTAGAGATAGAGGTAAGATAGACAGACAGAGAGAGAGAGAGAGAGAGAGAGAGAGAGAGAGAGAGAGAGAGAGAAGGACGGACAGACAGATAGATAGATAGATAGGAGATAGAGATAGAGGTAGGCAGATAGAGGTAATAGATAGATAGATAGATAGATAGATAGATAGATAGATAGATAGATAGATAGATAGGAGATAGAGGTAGAGGTAGGCAGATAGAGGTGAGAGAGAGAGAGAGAGGGAGGGAGATGGATAGATAGATAGATAGATAGATAGATAGATAGATAGATAGATAGATAGATAGATAGATAGATAGATAGGAGATAGAGGTAGAGGTAGGCAGATAGAGGTAAGATAGACAGACAGAGATAGAGATAGATAGATAGATAGATAGATAGATAGATAGATAGATAGATAGATAGATAGGAGATAGAGGTAGAGGTAGAGAGAGGTAGAGAGAGGTAGAGAGAGGTAAGATAGACAGACAGAGATAGAGATAGATAGATAGATAGATAGATAGATAGATAGATAGATAGATAGATAGATAGATAGATAGATAGAGATAAGTAGGTAGGAGGAGAGAGAGAGGGAGAGAGAGAGAGAGATGGGGGCACCAAGGATCCCTCATTTCAACCCAGAGTTACAAAGCTTCTCGTTTATCGGTAGGATCTGATTCCAGTTCTAGCCCTCACACTGAACGGCAGAATGGCCCATATGCTGAAAAAGTTGCCGTTCCTAAAGAAGAAGGACAGCGCTGAGTCCAATCTCCAGGTCAATCATGACCAGCAGTGGAACCCCCAGGAAGCCCACTTCTCTGGCTCCCACCCGTCCACTTCCCCTCACTCAGCCACTCAGCGAACCACGCAGGTCCTCCCTCTGCTTGTGAAGTCTGCCGCAGCTCCAATGGAGGCCAGGAAGAAGTCTCAGCCTCCAGCGCTGGTGCTTCCCGAGTTGGGACTCAGGACAACCCGGAAGAGCCTTCCAGGGGCTGCTCAGGCAGAGGACAAGCAAGGCAAGAAGGAGCCCACCTCCTTGCAAAGGGTATATGACAGGTCTCACAGGAGCAGCCTACCCCAAGGGAGAAGACGTTCTCCAGATGCCATCATGCCTTTATATCCAGGTATATACAGTACAGAGCTGGGCTATGTATGGAACCAGCTTTCTCCTATCACATCATCCCATCCCACTCCATCACTCCATCACTCAATCAATCAGAATAGAGCCAGAGGAGATCATTTAGGATCCAGAACATTGATCTAATAGGTCCCAGGACTTGACCCAGCCTCAGAGCTCTTTCAGGGTGTTTATTTACCCCCGGATACAATTCTTTATCTGTTTATAACAGAACATAGAACAGTGGTTCTCAACCTGTGGGTCGGGACCCCATTTGGGGTTGAACGACCATTTCATGGGGGTCGCCAAACCACGTTGTCCGCCATTTTTTCCCTTTTCCCTAGCTGATCTACTCCCTCTTATTGGTGGCCACACCCACTTGGGGGTCACCACAACATGGGGAACTGTATTATGGGGTCACGGCATTAGAAAGGTTGAGAACCACTGACATAGAACAATCAAGTTGGAAGGGACTTCAGAGGTCTTCTAGTGCAGTGGTTCTTAACCTTTTTGAAAGAATCGCCCCCTTGAGCCAATGAGGAAGTTGTCATCGCCCCCCTCCCCCAACATAACCTCTCAATCACAACATAGGAAGTAATTCTTCAATTTGTGCTTTTTTTTGTTTTCTTTAAAATTGTCATCAGGACATATCGATGCAAATAATTTATTTCCAGTCTTTTTCTCATATTTCAACTGTTCGAAAATTTTTGGTGCCACTGTCACTTTATTCCCAAACTTCGTGATACATGTATTTCATTATGATCTTATTTATTCAAGACACTTAAAACTAATGACCACTGAAAACAAAATTCAATGGCAAGAAAGTGAAATGCCCGAAAAGAAAAACAGTAACATTTAATGATTGAATTACAGGTGAAATTTAAGACGCAAAAAGAAATATAAAAAGGGTAGAGGCTGCTGCGCAATGCGCATGAAGATAAGCGATGCGTCTTCACATATGTATGGCATTCTGTACTGAAGCTAGCTGGAGGAACATTTGAGAACACAATTCAATCCACTAATAGCGAGCGATCTGATGTTTTTGTACGACAGATATGCAGCCATTCACTGTACGAAAAAGTTTCAAAAGTGTCCCCAAAACTTCTCGCTCCATCACCCCCATATTGCCCCCTTTTCGTTCCTTTGCCCCGCATCACCCGTTTTTGTTCCATCGCCCCCCTGAAAAATGAAATTGCCCCCTGGGGGGCAATATCGCCCAGGTTAAGAACCACTGTTCTAGTTCAACCCCCTTCTCAAGCAGGAGAGTCTATAGTAGTACCATGTTGGACAGATGGCTGTCCAGTCTCTTCTTAAAAACCTCCAGTAATGAAGCAGCCACAACTTTTAAAGCAAGCTGCTCCACTGATAAAATGTTCTCCCCGTTAGGAAGTTTCTCCTTAATGCCAAGCTGTTTCTCTCCTTGATTAGTTTCCATCCATGGCTTCTTGTCCTGCCCTCTCATGCTTCGGAAAATAAGTTGACCCCCCCCTCTTCTTTGTGGCAGCCCCCCAAATACTAAATCATGTTACCCCAAGTCCGTCTTTTCTTTGGACTGGCCCTTGGCTCTTTTATGACTTGTGAACTTCAACTCCCAGAATTCCTGAGCCAGCCATGCTGAGGGGAAAGGGAGAGGTTTCCAAGCTGAGCCATGCTGGCTCAGGAATTCTGGGAGTTGAAGTCCACAAATCATAAAAGAGCCAAGGTTGCCTACCCCTGGCCTAGTCTATTAAGCCTGACAGGAGTAGAAACTGGTAGGCCTAGTCCATGGGTAGGCAGCCTTGGCTCTTTTATGACTCATGGACTTCAACTCCCAGAATTCCTGAGCCAGCCATGCTGAGGGGAAAGGGAGAGGTTTCCAAGCTGAGCCATGCTGGCTCAGGAATTCTGGGAGTTGAAGTCCACAAATCATAAAAGAGCCAAGGTTGCCTACCCCTGGCCTAGTCTATTAAGCCTGACAGGAGTAGAAACAGGTAGGCCTAGTCCATGGGTAGGCAGCCTTGGCTCTTTTATGACTCGTGGACTTCAACTCCCAGAATTCCTGAGCCAGCCATGCTGAGGGGAAAGGGAGAGGTTTCCAAGCTGAGCCATGCTGGCTCAGGAATTCTGGGAGTTGAAGTCCACAAATCATAAAAGAGCCAAGGTTGCCTACCCCTGGCCTAGTCTATTAAGCCTGACGGGAGTAGCTTATCAGATACTGGTAGGCCTAGTCCACGGGTAGGCAGCCTTGGCTCTTTTATGACTCGTGAACTTCAACTCCCAGAATTCCTGAGCCAGCCATGCTGAGGGGAAAGGGAGAGGTTTCCAAGCTGAGCCATACTGGCTCAGGAATTCTGGGAGCTGAAGTCCACGAGTCATGAAGGGGCCAAAGTTTTCCCTATGCTGGCTCAGGAATTCTGGGAGTTGAAGTCCACGAGTCATAAAAGAGCCAAGGTGGCCTATCCCTGGTCTATGACAACTCTCTACGGCCAACTTTCAGTGGTCAACTAGCCGAGGGACAACTCACTGCGGGTTACATTAATATCAAAAAAATGGTGGAATAGAATCATGAAAGAAAGAATGACAAAGGAATGAAAAGGGAATGATAAAAATTAAAATGATTTTTTAAAATTTATTTTAAATAATGAAACTGAATTGTTAAATTTTCCTGTGATGAGTTGTCCCATTCCATAAGGGAGATAAGAAACACATTCAAGTTGGCCTGGATTTAGATCTCTTGCGGATGCAAAGGGATTTGTGGCTAATGACGCCTTGGACACCTCCCTCCCTCGGGCTCAGCCCTACACACCCTTTTTTTCTCTTCCTTTTGAGAAGGTTTGTCCTGTCGAATTGCCCATCAATCCCAGTCTGTCTCTCCTTCTCAGAACTCTCCGATGAATGCTTTAGACCTTTATGGGAGAGCAAGAAGCCACTGAAAGGCAGATCTGTGAAAGACACCTTAGAGATGATGGATGAGAAAGAAATATTAGACACCATCCTGGATCATCTTCGTCCTCCCTTACATGTAAGCAGATTGGTTTGTGTCAGGTTGTTTACTTGTCCTTCCAGTCAGAGAAGCAACTCTATGTTCTTCATCTGGACAACTGTTCTCACAATTTGTGCCAGAGATTTTCCAACAGCTCCTCTCAAAAGCTACCTCAGCTTCAGCTGATACAATCCGGGATGGTCCTTTTTACGTGCCTTGTGTCTGTCCCAGCTAGAAAAGTCAAGTAAATTGTAAAATGTATCCTGATGCAGAAGGGAAACCCGATGCTTTCCTTGGAAACACACACAAAAAAACCCCTGTTCCTTCCTCTGCTCCTTCAATTTGTCACAATTTCTTTATTGTTGTTGCCTGAACAGATTTCTGCAGAACCCAAACTGCCCAGGAAGAAAATGGATGGATTTCCATCCCTCCATCAGAAGTCTACAATCCAAGAAAGCAGTTCCCATCACTTGTCTCAAGAGAAGGTAAACATGCTGAGGTTTCACCCTTTTGGGGGGTGCAATTGTCCTACACACAACGTCGGAAGGGGACAACTCACCGCTGCCAACATTGGCACGGGATAATTCAACAATTCAATTCGTTCAAATTATTTAAAAAAACATTTTAATTGTTGTCGTTTCACATTTCATTTTGTCCCTCCTTTGGCATCCTTCCTTTAACGATTCTGTCCCACCATTTCTTCGAGATCAGACAGACAAATGAATAGTAGAATAACAGAATTGGAAGGGACCTTGGAGGTCATCTAGTCCAACCCCCTGCTCAGGCAGGAAGCCCTATGCCATTCTGGAGAAATGGCTGCCCAGTCTCTCCTTAAAAACCTCCAGTGATGGAGCACCTAGAACTTCTGGAGGCAAGTCGTTCACTGATTGATTGTTCTCATTGTCAGGAAATTTCTCCTTAGTTCTAGGGGGGTTCTCTCCTTAATTAGTAGTTGACCCCACACTGTCCATTTTTGATATTATTTTGTCCTCCTTTTCCTTTTCCTGACCCATTGGTGGACCTCCGTATGATTCACTGACTCTTTTTCCAACTTTCAGATTTTGCTTTACAAATACTATGGGGTGAAACTACGGAACTCGAGACAAAAAGACCTGGTCAAAGAACACCTGAAAAGACTTCTAGGTTTTTCATTACAAGAAGAAACAGACAGAGAAGTGAGTGGAAGTGGGAGCTCTGCAGGGGCCGAGCCCTCCAACTTTGTGGGGCCCTTGGTGCTCTCTGAGCTGGGTTGTTCTGCAGAGGTTTTGTTACCCAACTAGATCACATCATCCATGGTAGAAGGGAATGGGGTTTGTGGGGAGGAGGAGGAGGAGGAGGAGGAGGAGGAGGAGGAGGAGGAGGAGGAGGAGGAGGAGGAGGAGGAGGAGAAGAACTGTCTTTGGTGCTCTCTGAATTTCATTGTTTTCTTGAAGATGTTTCATTACCCAACTAGATAATTTCATCAGTGCTAGAAGGGAATGGGGTTTGCAGAGTGGAGGAGGAGGAGGAGGATAAAAAGGAGAGGAGGACTATGGGGTCCTGTGGGGTTATAGAAAGGAGGAGGAGGAGGATAAAAAGGAGAGGAGGACTATGGGGTCTTGTGGGGTTACAGAGAGGAGGAAGAGGAGGAGGAGGAGGAGGAGGAAGAGAGGGGAGGAGGATAAAAAGGAGAGGAGGACTATGGGGTCCTGTGGGGTTATAGAGAGGAGGAGGAGGAGGAAGAAGAAGAAGAGAGGGGAGGAGGATAAAAAGGAGAGGAGGACTATGGGGTCCTGTGGGGTTACAGAGAGGAGGAGGAGGAGGAGGAGGAACAGGAGGAAGAAGAGAGGGGAGGAGGATAAAAAGGAGAGGAGGACTATGGGGTCCTGTGGGGTTACAGAGAGGAGGAGGAGGAGGAGGAAGAAGAAGAAGAGAGGGGAGGAGGATAAAAAGGAGAGGAGAACTATGGGGTCTTGTGGGGTTACAGAGAGGAGGAACTGGGTGTCCATAGGGATGCTCAAAATGTCAAGATGGTGGCCATAATGCTGCAATTGTTCCATCGTGGCATGAATTTTTTGACCATGGGACTTCAAACTTGGCCACTTTAAGATTTGTGGACTTCAACTCCCAGAATTCCTCAGCCAGCATTGCTGGCTGAAGAGTTCTGGGAGTTGAAGTCCCCAAGTCTTAAAGTTGCAGACTGGGGAACTCTGGGAGTTGAAGTCCCCAAGTCTTAAAGTTTGGAGACCCTTATTTTTGACCATCCCCCGTGGACCACTCTTGTTGGCAGCAAACGACTCCAGAATGTGGCTCACCCTCAAGAGCAAACAAGAGGTGGCTCTTACTTAGCCTTCATCATAAAAGCAGCCTGCAATAAAGAAATGCAATTATGGGTAAAATGTTGAAATGTCCTAATTCGCAAGCATCGCTTTGCTTAGGGAATCTCTGAAACCATCGGAGTGGTTGCCTTTTGCCATCTTCCCGAGATTCTGTTGGCCCTGAGAGATGTCGGCCACTTCGGACATGCAAAGACACCTGCTGTGCTAGAAGCCACCTTTGAAGTAAGTCCAGAGATGGGGTTGCAAGGTCTGAGACTCAATACAGAAGAACGCTGGGGGATTCTGGGAAGGAAAGTCCAACATGTTTAGAAGGATTTATGCTCCATAAATTTATGCCTGGCCTCCTCAGACTCCGATCTCAAAGACCGGAGACCAGTGCTAAGATTTGTAGGTGGTGGTGGAAATTCTCCATCTCCCAGAGGGCTATTTTATAATGCTAGAGGAGATTATGACAACAAACATCTCAAGTAGACCCAAAGGTGCTTTTTCAAAAGGCAACTGGACTTTGTTTTTCCTTCCTTTCACTTCTCATCCAAGAAGCTTCTTCTGTTCCGACTGAGAAGGGGATTGGACTGACGGATGATGGAGGTTGATGACCACTTCCTGGACCTCAATATGGAGGTGGGAAAGGGACCCCAATTGGAGGCCAGACATGTGGTCTTTCCAAAGACATCCAGTTGGCCATTTGGGATCCAGAACGCTGATCTTATAGGTCCCAGGACTTGATCCAGCCTCAGAGCTCCTTCAGGATGTTTATATACCCCCTGGGTACAGTTCTTTCTCTGTTTATTATAGAACATAAAACAGTGGTTCTCAACCTTTTTAATGCCGCGACCCCCAACCGGTCGTAAGTTGAGGACTACTCAACCGGTCGTAAGTCGAGGACTACTCAACTGGTGCAGCACCGTTGGCAGAATGGGACTTTTGGCGGGCTCAGCAGGGCAGAGACAGCCTGGACAATTCCTATTGGCTTTTGAAAGCCAATAGAATTAGACTCTATTCAAGAGAGTCTATTCTATGGGCTTTCAAAAGCCAATAGAATAAAAGGGAGTAGCACAGCTAAGGAAAAGGGGGGGAAAAATGGCGGACTGCGTTGTTTGGCGACCCCCGTGAAATGGTCGTTCGACCCCAAATGGGGTCCCGACCCACAGGTTGAGAACCACTGATATAGAACAAGCGAGCTGGAAGGGACCTCAGAGGTCTTCTAGATCCAACCCCCTGCTCAAGCAGGAGAGTGTACCATTTCAGACAAAGGGTTGTCCAGTCTCTGTTTGAAAGCCTCCAATGATGGAACACCCACAACTTCTGGAGGCAAGCTGTTCCACTAGTTCATTGTTCTCACTGTTAGGAAGTTTCTCCTTAATTCCAAGTTGCTTCTCTCCTTGGTTCGTTTCCATCCATTGTTTCTTCTCCTGGTGCTTTGGAGAACAGGTTGACTCCCCCTCGTCTTTCTACTCACAGGACCCACACTCTCTGTCTGAGAGACAATTTCGCACAGCCTTGATCCTGTGCTATGGCCAAGCAGCCATGGGGGCTCAACCGGAGGAGGTGATAGCTTTAGTGGAACACATTGTCTCTGAGATTCTCTTCCAGTATTCTACTAAGAACAAGGTAGGCTGGCTTCCACCTGTACCTCTCTTAAGGATGAGCTCCCCTTTTCTCAGAAAGGTGGGAGTTATGTCACAGGTCTTTCCTATGAATTAAATAAATAAAAAAACCCCAATGATTATGTTCCAGTATCACCTCTCGTTATTTGCCCTTTTTATTGCAAGAACAGTTATAATCTGTTATAGTCCTTAGCTTGATTGCCTTCTTGCAAACATTTCATGACCCAGCTAATGTTTTGTTTTTTTTTTAATTGAAAATTTTTAAAATTTTAAAAGTTTCCGACTGTGACAGTAAAGAAACTATATTAATGTTAAATTTAATTACAGCGGCTAGGTTGTTAGCAGGGCAATGTTGGAAGAAGGAATCTTTGCCTACTTTGCAAGAATGGTTTTTTTAAAGTTTCCTATTTAGCAGAAATGGCAAAGATTTCGGCTTTTTTGAAAGATCAATCGCAAGAGAAGTACCTTTTGGTATGGAAAAGATGGATAAATTTTATACAGTACAAGTATGATATAAAAAATATTATTTAGCTTTTGAATAATTTATATTTAAAGTTTAAGATATTTTTTAGATATTTTTTTTCTCTTTCTAATTTCTTTTTTTTCTTTTCTTTTTCTTTCCTTCTTGTTTTTTTTCTTTTTCTTTTTTTGTTTTTTAAGTATTGGTGTTAAAGTATTTTATGATTTGTTTAATTATTGTAACCAAATTTGTATATGGTTTATTTGTGTTTAAAAAATTTTCTCTTAAATTTTAATTAAGCCTGTATTCAGCTCTGGGAAGGTTGGGGGAGGGTTGGGGTGGGTTGGGGGGGTTTGGGGGAGGGAACTTTTTTTTTTTGTTATCAGTGGATTGTGGGAAAGGAGGAGGAGCAGGAGCAGGAGGAGAAGGAGAAGGGGAGAAGGAGGAGAAGGAGAAGGAGGAACCCTTCAGCCTTTGATTAGGCCTGTAATTCAGATTCTCTCCCTATTCCAATTGCATTGTACATGATTAAATGCTAGTTGTTTATTTATCTATTAGAGGGTCATGCTATCTTTATTACATTCAAGGCAGTGGACATATATAATATTTTTTCCTCCTTTCCACACAACCTTTTGAGATAGACGGATTGGCCCAAAGTCACCCAGCTGGCTCTCATGCCTAAGGCGGAACTAGAACTCACAGTCTCCTGGCGATTGGCCCAAAGTTACCCATCCAGCTTTCACACCTAAAGCGGGACTAGAACTCACAATCTCCTGGTGATTGGTCCAAAGTTACCCATCCAGCTTTCACACCTAAGGCGGGACTAGAACTCACAGTCTCCTGGTGATTGGTCCAAAGTTATCCATCCAGCTTTCACACCTAAGGCGGGACTAGAACTCACAGTCTCCTGGTGATTGGTCCAAAGTTATCCATCCAGCTTTCACACCTAAGGTGGGACTAGAACTCACCATTTTTGGGTGACTGGCCCAAAGTCTCTCAGCTGACTTTCATCCTAAGATGGAACTAGAACTCAAAGTCGCCTGTTGACTGGCCAAAATCACTCAGCCATCTTTCGTGCCTAAGGCAGAAGCAGAACTCAAAATATCCAGGTGATATTTTGATTGGGAGCCCCTCAGAGTTCAACTGAAAATGGTTGGCTACATCAAGGTTTAAATCAATCAATCAATCAATCAATCAATCAATCAATCCTCTTCCTTCTGTTTTTTTCTAACCCCACACTATCCACCCTGTGTTTTCCAGGATGAAGCCTTGAAAAAAGCATTCATGAGGTCCGTGATCATGATCACCAAAGCTCTTGTCCATACCAGGAGGCAGGACGTCAATTTACCCCATAAACCTGAACTGGTCATAAACATCATTGTAAGTGGGGGAGGGGGGGGACAGGTGCTGCTGGGGGTATTTATTTTTGAAAGTGAATTTGGATTGAATTGAATTGACCACAGGTAGTCCTCGACTGCAGTTCAGCCCCAAACGGTTGTTGCTAAGTGGGACAACTGTTAAGTGAGTTCCTCCCCATGTTACGCCCTGTTTTGCCACCGTCGTTCACTGAATCACTGTTGTTAAATTAGTCACACGGTCGTTAAATGAATCCGGCTTCCCCTTTGACTTGACTTGTCAGAAGGTCCTCAAAAAGGGCATGGCGTGACCCCGGGACACTCTGACCGTCGTAAATATGAACCAGTTGTCAAGTGTCCAGGGAGATGCTGAAATGGTCGTAAGTGTGAAAAACCACCATAAGACACTTTTTAAAGTGCGGTTGTAACTTCGAATAGTCATTAAATGAATGGCTGTTAAGTCGAGGACTATCTGTAATTTATTTAGCCAAGTGTGATTAGACATAGAGAATTGTTGTGATTCCGTGCCAGCCAGTGGACCCGGCAGCTGAATCCAGGGAATCAAAGGAGGAGGAGGAGGAGGGGCCTGGAGAGCTATCAGAGTCGGAGGAAGGCTCTGATGAGCTCCAGGACTTACAAGCTGATGAAGAGCCTGGCCCCTCCACTTGTGCTCAGGCTGAGACCCAGCTGTGCTGGGACGCTGAGTCAGACTCTCACAGCTGGAAGACATCATAGACCAGTGGTGGCGAACCTATGGCATGGGTGCCAGAGGCGGCACTCAGAGCCCTCTCTGTGGGCACACGCGCCGTCGCCCCAGTCCTAGGCCTTCAGCTGGGTTTTATAAAACCTTTTCGCTTTAGGCCTCCGCTGCCATGTACAAAAAAAGAGGTTTAATCAATCAGTCAATTTCAACTTCTCGTGGGAAAAAAAAAGATCTTGCAAAGTTGGAATTGAATGATTGAACTTTTTAGTCCCACCCAGTCTGCCTTTACCACCACAGCCATGCCCAGCCAATGGGCCACACCCACCCGGCACTCAATGATGCATAAGTGGGTTGCAGTTTGGGCACTCAGTCTCTAAAAGATTCGCCATCATTGTCATAAATGCTCACAAACGCAGACAGGCAACAAGAGCAGGACAGAGGGAGGCAATGGGGCGACTCCAAGGAGGAGAAGAAGGCATTGAGAAGCCACGCCTTGGGGCTGCATAATAAAAAGGGAAGGTGTGGGTGGTGCTGGTTGCTGAAGGCAATCGTTGGCAAAGGACTCAAGTTTCATGGAATCCTGTTCTGTTTGCCTTGCCTTTGGACAATTCTCCATTTGAATCGTGTTCTGTTTGCCTTGGGACAATTCTCCGTTTGCATCGTGTTTTGTTTGCCTTTGCTTTTGGGACATTTTGCAGGTCTGTACATAATAATAAAAGGGGTTTGTTTTCCCTGCATTTCCAGCCTACTTGTTAAAAGAGGGGTTTGTCCTTGTCAGTTAACAAGGACTCACATAGGTTGGGACAGAACAATAATTTCTCTCCAATGTAGAAGCTCTCAGTGTACATGCAAAACAACACAATAATAATAATCATCATAATAATGGTATCAATAAGAGAAGGTGGTAAAAAAGATGAGAAGGATAAAATACAGCCATAGGATGTGGGTAAATAGAGATAAGGCAGTACTATAAGAATTAGATGTTCAGCAGAATGATGGCACACGGGGAAAAAACTCCTTGTGACTTATTATCCCAAAGGTGCTTTTCCAAGAGGCAACTGGATTTTCTTGTTTTTCTTTGAAGACACTTCACTTCTCATCCAAGAAGCTTCTTCAGCTCTGACCGGATGGTGGGGAATGGAAGGATTGATACTCCTTGCAGACAGCTGGTCATTTGCCTTCTTTTAGAGAGCCATTGAGGCCACTTGTTCTCAGGGTCACCTGAGTAGTGCAGATGGGTGTGGAACCTTCTTGGCTACAGGATGTTTTCTGCCCTGGGTCCCTTCACACCCATTTGCACTGCTCAGATGACCCTGAGGACACAGATAAACCTCCAAGTGGCCTCAACAAATCGCTAAAAGAATGCAAATGACCAGCTGTCTGCAAGGAGTATAAATTCTGGGAGTTGAAGTTCACGGGTTGTAAACAGGCCATAGTTACCCATCCCCAACTTAAATCATGGTCACATGATGATGGGACACCACAAACTGCCATAAATGCAGGCTGGTTGCCAGGTGACAAAAATGGAATCACATGATCACTGAGGAAGACACTCCTCTTGGAACTTCGGATCTGGATCATAAGTAGTCCTGGAAAGATCTGTCACAAGTTTAAATGATAGCTAAGTGACCAGTTTTAAATTGAGGACTTCTTGAATCAATCAGAACAAGCATAGGGATGGGAATAGAGCCAGTTGGATGGTGGCCATATCTGTGGAGCGTTCTTAAATGTGTTTCCTACTCCTCCTCCTTTCAGGAAGTCATTGAAAATGAGCCTGCGAGATCTTTGTCCGTCATAATTCTTCATCAAGCGATCATCACAATCACCTGCATGACGTACGTATCTCCACCACCCCCACCTTATCACCAGGGTTGTAGGAATCTGGCGCTGGACCCAGTTTTGGGATTTTCATGCCAAATCCTCAGGCTCTAGAGCACACGTTGAATTAGAAGGTCAGTCCAGAATTTGGAAGGGTGAACAATTTGCATGCTGGCCATCTGGGCAGTTCAGATCTGGGAAACGAGGTGAGTGTGCTTATTTAGAGGTGAGGGGTCCTTGGTGCTCTCTGAGCTTGATGGATTTCTTGCAGACATTTCATGACCCAACTAGGTAACTTCATCAGTGCTAGGAGGAGAACTGTGAGATCCTTGGTGCTCTTTTAGCTTGGTTGTTCTCTTGCAGATATTTCATGACTCAACTAGGTAATATCGTCAGTGCTAGAAGGGAGGGAGAGAGAGAGACAGACAGACAGACAGACAGACAAAGATATGGTAGATAGAGATAGATAGATAGATAGATAGATAGATAGATAGATAGATAGATAGATAGATAGATAGATAGATAGATAGATAGATGGATGGATGATAGCATTGGTGGCACACTCGTTAGAATGCAGTATTGCAGGCAAACTCTGCCCACTGCCAGCAGTTCGATCCTGACCCGCTCAAGGTTGACTCAGCCTTCCGTCCTTTCGAGGTTGGTAAAATGAGGACCCAGATTCTTGGGGCCAATAGGCTGACTTTGTAAAACCACTTAAAGAGGGGCTGTAAAGCACTGTGAAGAGGTATATAAGTCCAAGTGCTGTTGCTGTTGCTCTGTCTAGTTTAATTACAAGAAGGACTAGGGGGTGACATGATAGCAGTCTTCCAATATTTGAGGGGCTGTCACAGAGAGGAGGGGGCCAACCTACCCTCCAAAGTACCTGAGAGCAAAATAAAAAGCAAGGTATGGAAGCTCATCAAAGGGAGATCCAGGAGAACAATCCCGACACTGAGAACAATCAATCAGTGGAACGGTTTGCCTCCAGAAGTTGGGCGTGCTCCATCACTTCAGGTTTTCAAGAAAAGACTGGACAACCATTTGACCAGGATGGTATAAGCACCACCAAAAAGCAAGGGTTAGACTAGAAGACCTCCAAGGGCCCTTCTAGCCTTACGGGTCTACGATCTTCTCACCCCCCTCCTCTTTTCTTATCTTTCATCAGTCGTTTGAAGCCTACACTGAACACAGAGGTGATGTCCAAGTTGGTGAACACAAGCATTCAAAGGGTATTTTCCCTGCCGGCTCTGAAAATGACCAAAGTGAATGCTGCTAGCCCAACCCAGTCAACCTACACGCAGGTGAGCAGTCCAGATGGAGCAAAGCAATATGAGATCCATATGGACCTTTGGTGGGAGGACAAGGTGAAACATGATTCAAGATATCCTCAAAATCTCTGAATCGATCTTTGAGCCAAATGGCACCTTGGCCTGTCCCCTTCATCTTTGGTCTTGTGGGAAGTCAGCTCCCCAGAGAAAGAAATATTAAAAGGGCAGAAAAATATATTTCTTCCAAGGATCTTGAAAAACGCAGGAAAGCATGCCCAGTTTTTCTTAATAGCTCCAAGTCTCCCTTCCCCAAGCAGAAACCAGCTCTATAGAGATGCAGATATAAATCCAGGGAGCTAGGAAATTAAGAAGACAAAGACTTAAAATCTATATACCTCATCAAAACTCTAAGAGTCATCAGCCTTAGGGAAGCAGGATATGACCTTTGGACATAATAAGACTGACCCATCACTATCAGAATACCAGAAAGGCACTCAGACTCAGGTCAAAGTTCGTGCCACAGGAATAACTCCAAACAAAAGACTCCAGAGGGTATAAAAACCCACTTCCTACATGCTCAGCCCTTTTTTCACTTCTCTTGCTGCCAGAACCATCTTCCTGTCTGGCTGTCCTCTCCAATAAACTACAACCTTCTTCCCAAAGCAGTTGCTATGTTTATTCCCAGCTTGGATGAACCATGATGAAGACTTTTCTTCCAACAGTCTTGAAAGAATGCTTCAACTCATTATACGTTTCTTGATAGGACTACGTATTTTTAACTTCTAAACATCTCCATGGTCTTCCTCATCAACTTTTCTCTCCTCCTCCTCCTCCTCCTCCTCCTCTTCTTCTTCTGTTCTGGTTGAAGTATCTTCTCAGGACTCACTCCCCATCTCCCCCTTTTGCCCCCAAACGAAAGAAGGGCATATGGTGGTGCAGAACAACCATGATCTACATGCACTAGCTATGATTCCTAGATCATCTGTAAGAACCCTCAAGAAAAGATACAACTTCTCTGACCTGAGTTTGTTTCCTGCTGACTTGGAGGACATATCCATTACAGCTCCTTGGCCACAAGATGGAAGGGCAAAATTATACTATGCAAATTCCAAAATAGAAGCAGAGCCCAGATTGTCTATTTGGTCCTGTTGAGATCCTAAAGAAACAACAACAAAAGACTGTATGCACCTTGTGGAACAGGAGTGTCCACCGTGGCAACTTTAAGACCTGTGGACTTCAACTCCCAGAATTCCCCAGCCAGCATATGCTGGCTGGGGAATTCTGGGAGTTGAAGTCCACAGGTCTTAAAGTTGCCACAATTGGACACCCCGTTGTAGAAGAACGCAACTCCTGATATTGTTGATGCCGATAGATTTTCCTCCCAAATCCACTAGATCGTGGGTGTTAAACTCACCACGTCATGTGACGTGTCACAACATATCGTAACATTTTTTGCATTGCCGAAGCTGGGGTGGGCACGGCTTCTGCATGATGCAACTGGCCCGTGGGCTGGCAGTTTGACACTCCTGCATTAGACCAACCATTTTAAGAATAGAATAGAATAGAGTAGAGTAGAGTAGAGTAGAGTAGAGTAGAGTAGAGTAGAGTAGAGTAGAGTAGAGTAGAATAGAATAGAATAGAATAGAATAGAATAGAATAGAATAGAATAGAATAGAATAGAATAGAATATGGAGGAATAGAATGGAATGGAATGGAACGGAATGGAACGGAATGGAACAGAACAGAATAGAGCTAAAAGGGACCTTGGAGGTCTTCTAGTCCAGCCCCCTGCTCAAGGAGGAGAATCTGTACCAAGAGTTATAGATAGTCCTTGACTTACCACTGTAACAGAGTCAGAATTATGGCTGTAAGTCATTATAGTCATAAGTTGAGGCACTAAGTGGCTGGACCTGATTTTTGGACAATTTTTGCAGTGATCATGAAGTGAATGCGGCAGTCATTAAGCAGACACTGTAGCTATTAAGCGAATAACATGGTCGTTAAGCGATTCCATTGTGCCCAATGGGCATTGCTTGTTGGAAACTAGAAGAAAATGCTCGAAACCAGCAATAAAGGTCAAAAACATGTGGCCATGTGATCTTGAGACACTGCAAACAGCTGTAAAGGCAAGCCAGCACCCAAAAAGCAATCATGGGACCTTTGAACTTTTAACTCTGAAATTCTTTGAAATTCAGTCTTAAGTAGAGGTAGTTGTCACTAAGCAATCAGTTGTAAGTCGAGGAGTGCCTGTACTACTCCCATGTAGCTTTGTAAAGCAGTCCTTGTTTTCTCCTGTTTTTCCCACCAAGGGAGGGCTTTGTAACCTCCCCAATGGCAGCTGTAGAAATTCAAAAAAATGTTGGAGAAGACTCCTGCAAGTCCCCTGGACTGCAAGGCGATCAAACCGGTCAGTCCTAGAGGAGATCAACCCTGACTGCTCTTTAGAAGGCCAGATCCTGAAGCTGAAACTCAGGTACTTTGGCCACCTAATGAGAAGGAAGGACTCACTGGAGAAGAGCCTGATGCTGGGAAAAATGGAGGGCAAGAGAAGAAGGGGACGACAGAGAAGGAGGTGGCTGGATGGAGTCACTGAAGCAGTAGGCATGAGCTTAAATGGACTCCAGAAGATGGTAGAGGACAGGAAGGCCTGGAGGAACGTTGTCCATGGGGTCTCGATAGGTCTTCACAACTAACAACAATAATATATAGTTGTGAGAGTTGGACCATGAGGAAGGCTGAGCGCCAAAGAATGGAGGCCTTTGAACTATGGTGCTGGAGAAGACTCCTGCAAGTCCCCTGGACTGCAAGGCGATCAAACCGGTCAGTCCTTGAGGAGATCAACCTCGACTGCTCTTTAGAAGGCCAGATCCTGAAGTTGAAACTCAAGTACTTTGGCCACCTAATGAGAAGGAAGGACTCACTGGAGAAGAGCCTAATGCTGGGGAAGATGGAGGGCAAAAGAAGAAGGGGACAACAGAGAATGAGGTGGCTGGATGGAGTCACTGAAGCAGTAGGTGTGAGCTTAAAGGGACTCCAGAAGATGGTAGAGGACAGGAAGGCCTGGAGGAACGTTGTCCATGGGGTCGCGATGGTCGGACACGACTTCGCAACTAACAACAACAAAATCGAATAAAGAATTTTGTCCAGCAGTGTATCAGGGCTAGTCTTGATAAAGCTAAGCAAGGTCAGGCATGGTTCAGTCTTGGATGGGCAACTACAGGTAATGCTCGACTTACAACAGTTCATGTAGTGGCCTTTTGAAGTTACAACGGCACTGGAAAAAGTGACGTAGGACCATTATTTCACACTTACAGCCAATGCAGCGTCCCCGTGGTCACGTGTCCGCCTTTTGCGACCTTCCAACAAGCGAAGCCAATGGGGAAGCTGGATTCGCTTCAACCATGTAACTAACTAAACAACCGCAGTGATTCACTTAACCACCGTGGAAAGAAAGGTCATAAAATGGGGACAAAGCTCACTTGACAATTGTCTCGCTTAGCGGCAGAAATTTTGGGCTCAACTGTGGTCGTACGTTGAGGACTGCCTGTCTTTGAATATCCCAGAATTGCAAGGAAGACGTTCCACCTTTTAATAAGCCTTTTCTGAACGACAACATTAAGGAAGTCCTTTTGTTCCTTGTTCTCAAGCATTTCCTCCGGCTCTTGAAGAAAAAAAAAAGTCCCTGCAAGATTGGCCGCTTCGTTTACTGCAGAGGGGGTGTGGAAACGAGGGCCATCTTTATGACTTGTGGACTTCAATTCCCAGAATTCCTGAGCTTAGGAATTCTGGGAGTTGAAGTCCACAAGTCATAAAAAAGGCCCTCGTTCCTCACCCCTGGTTTTTCTGCCTCCTTTATGCGCTGTTCTTTTCTTTACGCCACCTCTTCCTTCTGATTTTTCTTCTCCTTTTAGGATTTTTACCACCAGACGGTGACCGCTTGCAGCTCCATGCTCACCAGCTTGCTGTCGGAGGCTCCCAATTTGGATTCCCTGCAAGAGATCTTGATGGTGAGACTTATTCTCATTGTGGCTGGTTGCAATGGTCGGCAAGATGTTCAGACGGGACTTGGCAATTTAGTCTCCCCGTCCTTCCCAAGGACCAGGGATAGGCAGATGTTGCTGTTTGTTGGCAAAGTATTGTCGCGGCTGCGGAATGGGACACCTCTCCACGGCCCACTCGCCACAGCCAATTTGTCGTGGGACAACTCGACAATTCGATTTAATTATTTAGAACAGTTAAAACGTTGTTTTCATTTTTTGTCATTCGCATTTCATTTAGTCCCTCTTTTGGCATCCTTTCTTTAAGGATGCCATTCCACTATTTCTCCGTTATTAGCGTAACCGTTCGTTTAGTAGCCGTTCAAAGTTACAGAAGGTCGCAAAAAGCAGATCGCGAGAGCCCGGGACCCTGCAACCATCGTAAATATGAGTCAGTTGCCACGCGTCCGAATTTCGATCATGTGACCACGGGATTGCTGCAACAGTCATAAGTGTGAAAAACAGTCATGGCTCCCTTTGTTCAGGGCCATTGTATCTTTGAACGCTAAATAACAATAGCCCTTAGACTTATATACCACTTTACAGTGCTTTTATGGCCCTCTCTAAGCAGTTTATAGTCAGCATAATGTCCCCAACAATCTGGGTCCTCATTTTACCAACTTCAGAAGGAAGGAAGGCTGAGTCGACCTTGAAACGGTCAGGATTGCGGGCAGAATTAGCCTGCAATACTGCATTCTAATCACTATGCCACCAGGGCTCTAAATCAGTAGTTCTCAATCTTTTTAATGCTGCGACCCCCAACCGGTCATAAGTTGAGGACTACTCAACCAGTCGTAAGTCGAGGACTACTCAACTGGTGCAGCACCGTTTGCAGAATGGGACTTTTGGCGGGCTCAGCAGGGCAGAGACAGCCTGGACAATTCCTATTGGCTTTGAAAGCCAATAGAATTAGACTCTATTCAAGAGAGTCTATTCTATTGGCTTTCAAAAGCCAATAGAATAAAAGGGAGTAGCACAGCTAAGGAAAAGGGGGGAAAAAAATGGCAGACTGCATTGTTTGGCGACCCCCGTGAAATGGTCGTTCGACCCCAAATGGGGTCCTGACCCACAGGTTGAGAACCGCTGCTCTAAATGAACTGTTGTAAATCAAGGACTAGCTTTATTCCAGAAATTTTCAATTACTGGTCTAGTTTTGAGTCTAGCATAGACCTAAACTGGCAAATGTCTCAACTTCGTTTGGTTCCTTCAATTTTCTCCCCAGTGCTGGCAAATTCTGTGGATCTTCAAATTGTTAATCACAAATTCTTCCTTCCTTCCTTCCTTCCTTCCTTCCTTCCTTCCTTCTCTCTTTTTTTTCCCTGGCAGCACACAAATACCTGGATTGAATCTCCCAAGATTCATGAGAGAGAGAGGGCAATTAAGAGCACCTGGCACCTCCTCAAGTTTGTTTCTGAACACACAGATTTCGATGTAAGTCACAGTTTTGGAGGAGAAGTGAAATGTTTTTCAGAGGAAAAATAACAAAGTCCAGTTGCCTTTTGGAAAAAGTGCCTTTGGGATGTGACCAGGATGCTATCAAAAGTCTTGCACAAAATTTAAGAAAATTTTTTTATAAAATATTTTATAGATGGCATTTGGATCCCCAAAAGTTGTCCCACATGTATCCGAAATTACAGCCCAAATGTTGGAGATGTGGAAATTTAGATGCAATTTATTTTCATATTTGGTGGACTTGTAAAGATATTAAAGCTTTTTGGATTAAGATTTGGTGGAATATTCAAAAGATTTTTAGGAAAAAAATAAAGTTTACTCCGCAATTATTTTTGTTGGGTATTATTGTAGATTTGGATGTTAAAGAAACTAATTTGATGTTGAACTTCATAACTGCTGCAAGATTATTGGTGGGGCAATATTGGAAGAAAGACTTATTGCCTACTTTGGAAGAATGGATACTTAAAGTGTCTGATTTGGCAGAAATGGCGAAAATCTCCGCCTATTTGAAGGATCATTCACAAGAAAGATATATTATGGTTTGGAGAAGATGGATTGATTATATTCAGAAGAATTATGAAACTGAAAAGTATTATCTTGCTTTTGAATAGATTTTAGATAATTATTAATAGTATTAATGGTATTATTATTTTTGTCTTAATTTGTTAATATTTGTTTTGAGAAGGAGTTAAAGTGTATTATGGTTTTGATTGATAGTTTAGTTGGTTTATGTTAGCTAGAGTATGTTTGTTTATTTGTTACCCTGTAATCAGCTCTGGGAAGTGGGGGAGGGGGGAGGTGATGGGTGGGTTTATATTGTAATTTGTAAAACTTTTAATAAAAAAAAAAGTCTTGCTTGAGCAGCGGGTTGGAGGAGAAAAAAATCACAGTTCCTTCCAGCATTGTGGTGCTGTGATTCTAAGCTTCTATGATTGTATGATTATACCAGTGGTGGCGAATCTATGGCACGGGTGCCAGAGGCGGCACTCAGAGGCCTTTCTGTGGGCACGCACGCTGTCGCCCCAGTCCTAGGCCTTCAGCTGGGTTTTATAAAAGCTTTTTGCTTTAGGCATCTGCCACTGTGTGCAAAAACAAAAAAAAAAGTTCAATCAATCAATTTCAACTTCTCATGGGAAAAAAAGGTCTTGCAAAGTTGGAATTGATTGATTGAACTTTTTAGTCCCACCCAGTCTGCTGTTATCACTGCAGCCATGCCCACCCAATAGGCCTCACCACCCAATTGGCCATGCCCACCCGGCACCGGACGATGCATAAGTAGGTTTGGGGTTGCAGTTTGGGCACTCAGTCTCTAAAAGGTTCGCCATCACTGGATTATAAGATTCTATGATTCTAAGATTCTACGATTATAAGTTTCTATCATTCTATGATTCTTTGATACTATGATTCTAAGATTGTATGATTCTATGATCCTGTGATTCTAAGATTCTGATTCTATGATACTATGATTCTAAGATTCTATAATTCTATGATTCTAAGATGCTATGATTCTATGATTGTAAGTTTCTATCATTCTATGATTCTGTGATACTATGATTCTAGGATTCTATAATTCTAAGAGTCTGTGATTCTATGATTCTAAGCTTCTATGATTCTAAGTTTCTATCATTCTATGATTCTGTGATACTATGATTCTAAGATTGTATGATTCTATGATCCTGTGATTCTAAGATTCTGATTCTATGATACTATGATTCTAAGATTCTATAATTCTATGATTCTAAGATCTATGATTCTGTAAGTTTCTATCATTCTATGATTCTGTGATACTATGATTCTGATTCTATAATTCTAAGAGTCTGTGATTCTATGATTCTAAGCTTCTATGATTCTAAGTTTCTATCATTCTATGATTCTGTGATCTATGATTCTAAGATTGTATGATTCTATGATCCTGTGATTCTAAGATTCTGATTCCATGATTCTAAGATTCTGTATGATTCTATGATTCAGTTTCTATGATTCTGTGATACTATGATTCTAAGATTCTATAATTCTAAGACTCTGTGATTCTAAGATTCTATGATTCTAAGCTTCTATGATTATAAGGTTCCATGATTATAAGATTGTATAATTCTATGAGTCTATGATTCTGTGATTCTAAGATTCCATGATTCTAAGATTGTGTAATTCTATCAGTCTATGATTCTGTGATTCTAAGATTCCATGATTCTAAGATTGTGTAATTCTCAGTCTATGATTCTGTGATTCTAAGATTCTGATTCTATGATAGTATGACTTTAAGATTCTATAAAAATTCTATGATTCTGAGATGCTATGATTCTAAGATTCTATGATTATAATTTTCTATCATTCTACAGTTCTGTGATTCTGTGATGCTAAGGTTCTATGGTCTGTATTGGTTCTATGGTTTGTATTCTATGATTTCAGCAGGCTGAAAGCTTCATGCGCCATTTTCTCTCCTTTCTCCTCCTTTTTCCTTCCTTTCATTAGACGACAGCTGACTTTTTTCTGCTGGGGCAACTGGTGGCGTTGCTGGGCCTGCACATTGGCGAAGGCAAAGAAATTGGCCAGACTTCCGCAGAGGCCGCCTACCACCTCCACTACATCCTCATGAACAAAATGGGTGAGAAATTTTGACTCCCTCACCAAGGGGCTGGCGTGCTGTAAGGAGACCACAGATGCACGCTGCCCAGGAGAGCACGGGGTGGCACAGCCTCTGGCTTGACCAAGACCCTAGGCATCGGGCTTGGCAGAGTTGCCTTGAATTTACAATTGATATTGGCTTCTTTTGGGGCCGGGGGTGCTTTTAAGACTGAGTTTTCACATTATGTGGGTCAGTTAGGCTAAGCATCTCCGGTCACCCAGCACGGGATTGTCAGTCTTGGCCCATTGTTTGTGTCTTACCGTGTTTTGCAAAGTAATTGGATGGCTGGAGGTATTGTGGGAAGGGGAAAAGTGGTTAACAAAGTTACTGATTGGGCAGGCAGTGTTAAGGAAAAAGCTAAAGAACGAGTGCTTAGCCTTACACTAAATTATACGTTAGTTTTATAGTTTCGACACCATTTCATATGTCTTCTCATTTTTTAATTGGGAGCCGTCCACAGTCATTTGAAAGACGGGCCTTAAATAAAGTAAAGGATCTGTTAAATTTGGTTAGTTAAAAGCTTAACCCAGTGTTTGTGAACCTTGGCAATTTTAAGACGTATGGATTTCAGCTTCCAGAATGAAATCAATTCCGAACCTAACGCTTCATTTGCACAACAGGCAAACGTAGTCAGAGTTAAATCCGGTTAGATTCATTCATTCATTCATTCATTCATTCATTCATTCATTCATTCATTCGTGTAATTTGTCTCTTATGTAACCCTATTTATTTTCTCTTTAAGGTCCAGCCGATTGTGTTAACCAAAAAAAGGATAGAGGGAGGGAGAGAGAGGGAGGGAGGGACAGAGGGAGAGAGGGGGAGAGAAAGGAGGGAGGGAGGGAGAAAGAGGGAGGGAGGGCAGAGAGGGAGAGGGAGAGAGAGGGAGGGGAGGGAGGGGAGAGAAGGAGGGAGGGAGAGAGAGAGGGAGGAGAGGGAGGGAGGGCAGAGACAGAGAGGGAGGGAGAGAGAGAGGGAGGGGAGGGAGAGAGAGAGAGAGAGAGAGAGAGAGCGTATGCCTGGTTTAGCATCACCAACCCTAATGCAAAGATGCACCAAACTGGAGTACAAGAGTTCCCCTGCCCATGTTCCTTTTCCTTTCTAGCAAGAATTTTTGTCACTCTACACAGCAAGGCTGAGTTCAGCCAGCCATTTTTTTTCTTTGCAAATGTTTGTTTGGCAAGGTCATCAGAACAACGGTATGCAACACATACACACACACACACACACACACACACACACGGGCCTGATGACGGTGCCAGGTAATGACAGCTGGGTGGGGTTCTTAGTGTTCTCTGAGCTTGGTGGTTTTCTGGCAGACATTTCATGACCCAGCTAGGTAACACCATCAGTACTAGAAGGAGGGGGGGAACCTTTCTCTGTGTTTCTACACAAGTGTTTTGCCCTCTCGGTATTGATGGCCATCATCCTCATCACTTGCTGTGCAGGTTCTGAGGTTTTGCTTGATTAAAAAAAATACAGGAAACCAGACGTTTCCTTTAAGCTTTACGTTTTTATTCAGCTGAACGAAGACAGGCTCCTCCGAAAGAGAGAAGCCCCGAATGACAAGAAATCCTTGTATTTATTCTTTCTGATTACATAAGCAATCCGTCCGGCAAAGCTGACACACATAAGATAAAGATTTCACCCAGTAAGTCTGGCACACTGTAGATCAGTGGTTCTCAACCTTTTTAATGCCACGACCCCCAACCGGTCGTAAGTCGAGGACTACTCAACCGGTTGTAAGCCGAGGACTACTCAACTGGTGCAGCACCGTTTGCAGACTGGGGCTTTTGGCGGGCTCAGCAGGGCAGAGACAGACTGGACAATTCCTATTGGCTTTGGAAAGACTCTATTCAAGAGAGTCTATTCGATTGGCTTTCAAAAGCCAATAGAATAAAAGGGAGTAGCACAACTAAGGAAAAGGGGGAAAAAATGGCGGACTGCATTGTTTGGCGACCCCCATGAAATGGTCATTCGACCCCAAATGGGGTCCCGACCCACAGGTTGAGAACCACTGCTGTAGATTAAGAAGGGAGAAAGCAGAAGTAGCTAAAAATGTTCCCTTTTGGGTGTTTCCCTAAAGACACCGTACGTTCCCGGGTGGGTTAGGACATGGGGTGTTTTCCTTGCTGTCCTTTCATGACCCTGCATCCATGACTCTGCAAGTGCCCAAGGTCAGCAGGGCCATCTGCGCACATTTCGCAATTGATATTCCCTATCAAGTGGTAGCGAACCTATGGCACGGGTGCCAGAGGTGGCACTCAGAGCCTCTCTGTGGAAATGTGCGCAGTCTCTCCAGTCTTAGGCCTTCAGCTGGGTTTTATAAAACCTTTTCGCTTTAGGCCTCCACTGCCATGTGCAAAAAAAAAAAAAAAGGTTCAATCAGTCATTTTCAACTTCTCACAGGGAAAAAAAAGATCTTGCAAAGTTGGAATTGATTGATTGAACTTTTTAGTCCCACCCAGTCTGCCGTTACCACTGCAGCCATGTCCACCCAATTGGCCACGCCCAGCCAATGGGCCACTCCCACCCGACACTCGACAATGCATAAGTGGGTTTTGGGTTGCAGTTTGGGCACTCACTCTCTAAAAGGTTTGCCATCACTGTCCTATGCTGTCTCCTAATTCCGGGTCAACACACTGATGATGTTACCTAGTTGGGTCATGAAACGTCTGCAACAAAACCACCAAGCTCAGAGAGCACCAAGGAGCCCACAGTCGTCGTCGTCCTCCTCCTCCTCCTCTTTCTCCTCCTCCTCTCACTCTCCCTCCTCCTCCTGCCCTCTTCTAGCACTGATGATGTTACCTAGTTGGGTAATGAAACAACTACAAGAAAACCACCAAGCTCAGAGAACATCCAGGATTCCACAGTCCAAGCCATAGCTACAAGTATTCTTTTCTAACCAAATAGTATCTAAACAGAGATGCTTCTTTCTCCACTCTCTTCTGTCACTGATGATGTTACCTAGTTGGGTAATAAAACATCTGCAAGAAAACCACCAAGCTCAGAGAGCACCAAGGACCCCACATTTCAGCCCTGAGCTATACATTTTATCTTCGGTTGGAACGATTAAACCAGCAGTCCGGCGAAGGATGTTCAGAAGTTCTGAATGCCAAAATTTGACGTTGTGTTTTTTTTTCCCCTCCCTATAAAGCTAAAGAGATGGATAAAAAGCCTAAGAATAAAAAGGGGAACATAGTGAAGTGGCTGAGAGAGGATTTCTTTGGTTCGGGATCGGGAATTTTTTACAACAACATCTCTAAAATGGCTAAGGTAGGTTAGCCCAGCATTTTGCCTTGATTCTTCTTGACCTTCCTTTCTGTCCTCCTCCTTAGAACATGGAGATGCTCCAAAAAGCCAGTATAACAGTGGGGATGGCATGATCCAAAGGCTGGAGTTTGGCTATCCATCCCATACAATCTATGGCATCGATGTATAAGAATGTATTAGAATCAAGATCATATGAAGGGTTAATATCACTTTACAGTGCCTTACTAAGGCCACACTTGGAATAATGCATGCAGTTTTGGTCGCCACGATGTAAAAAAGATGTTGAGACTCTAGAAAGAGTGCAGAGAAGAGCAACAAAGATGATTAGAGGGCTGGAGGCTAAAACATATGAAGAACAATTGCAGAAATTGAGTATGTCTAGTTTAATGAAGAGAAGGACGAGGGGGGACAGGATAGCCGTCTTCCAATATCTCAGGGGCTGCCACAAAGTAGAGGGAGTCAAGCTATTTTCCAAAGCGCCTGAAGGCAGGACAAGAAGCAACGGATGGAAACTAATCAAGGAGAGAAGCAACCTAGAACTAAGGAGAAACTTCCTGACAGTTAGAACAATTAACCAGTGGAAGAACCTGCCTCCAGAAGCGGTGAATGCTCCAACACTGGAAGTTTTTAAGAAGAGATTGGACAACCGTTTGTCTGAAATAGTGTAGCGTTTCCTGCCTGAGCAGGGGGTTGGACTAGATGACCTCCAAGGTTCCTTCCAACTCTATTATTCTATTCTAATGTCTAGGAATAGGCAATTGTAGCTGCCCTGTTGGCTTCTTTTTACCCACGCCCTAATATCAGTGGATGTGATTGATGACATAGAATAAGCCCTGCCTCGCTGCATGATGTGCTTTCCCCAAATCTGTTGTCTCTGAAACAACCCCCTCCCCCTTGACTTGTAGAGAGAAGGGAGTCAAAAACCCTGATTCATCTCTGTGTGGTCTCCTTTTCTTCTCTCCGATAGGCCTTTGGTGAGCACCTCTCCCCTATGCAAATCACGGACCTGATCATGAAAGCTCTCGAGGCACTCACAAATGAGGACAAGAATATTTCACAGGCTGCAGGAATACTACTGAACACCTTTCTGGAGGAGTGTGGCATGGATATGGAGGAAGTAAGAAAAGGCAGGGTTTGGAGCAAAAGGGATATAGGAGATTTTGTGGAAAAGAACGATGAGAATGGATGAGACCTTGTGTTCCGAGGCACTCTTGGTGATGACAACACTTTGGCTGGTTTTAAGAAAGTTAGGGCTGGATGGGAGACCACCCGGTGATCTTAAGGCTATAAAGTTTGGGTAAACCTTCCAGAAGAAGGTCAGGGAAAAACAAAATAGCCATATTGCTTTCATGAAAACTTTATTTAGAGAGCCAGTTGGATGGGGGTTTTTTGGGGGGGGGCCCACAGTCACAATTCTGTGATGCTATTTTGCCCCATTTATAGAGGGCCTCTTCGCATCTACCGTGGCCAGCACGAATTCGGTTCAGTGTTGTCCATATCACACGGGGCTTGATAAATCAGATGGTTTTTTTCCCCAAAAAATGTAAGGCAAACTTTGACATTCTGCAAGCCAATTTTTTTCGCCCAGTGGGTGGGAGGGATCAACTCCAGTGCCTCTCCAGTGGAGACCGACACTGGATCTCATCCCTCTGATCTCTTTTTTGCCGTAGCTACCCATGATCCTCAGGGAAATATACCGGCGTCTCCCCAACATCACTGAGCCGACCACTAAAGAGAACACCTTGAAGTCAGTTTGTCATTTGGCCTCCAAACGGATCAACAAGGTGGTGGACCTTCTACTGGAGTGTTCCCTGGATTGCGATCAGTAAGTACCTCAAGGAGATGAGGACTCCTGTTTTCTTACAGTCTAGGGCAGTGGTTCTTAACCTTTTTAATGCCGCGACCCCCCAACCGTTCGTAAGTCGAGGACTACTCAACCGGTCGTAAGTCGAGGACTACTCAACTGGTGCAGCACCGTTTGCAGAATGGGACTTTTGGCGGGCTCAGCAGGGCAGAGACAGCCTGGACAATTCCTATTGGCTTTTGAAAGCCAATAGAATTAGACTCTATTCAAGAGAGTCTATTCTATTGGCTTTCAAAAGCCAATAGAATAAAAGGGAGTAGCACAGCTAAGGAAAAGGGGGGGGGGGAAATGGTGGACTGCGTTGTTTGGTGACCCCCGTGAAATGGTCGTTCGACCCCAAATGGGGTCCCGACCCACAGGTTGAGAACCACTGGTCTATGGAGATTCTCAATCATTCATGATAGTGGTGAATATCTGTAGCTCAGGTGGAGGATGAGGGTGGAGGTTCGTCCTCCGAGCTTGTGCTTGGTTTCCGAACGTTTCGTTACCAGGCTGGGTAACATCTTCAGCAAAGTTTAAGGGATGTCGGTATTCTGCTTGTAAGGGCTTCAAGTGTGGGTGTGTCGAGGGGTAAGATGTGAGTCATAATGATGATGATGATGATGGTGATGATGATGATGATGGTGGTGATGATAATAATAATAATAATAATAATAATAATAATAATAATAATAATAATAATAATAATAATAATAGAGTTGGAAGGGATCTTTGGAGGTCATCTACTCCAACCCCCTGCTCCTGCAAGAAACCCTATACCATTTTGGACAAATGGCTGTCCAGTCTCTTCTTAAAAACTTCCAGTGTTGGAGCATTCACCACTTCTGGAGGCAGGTTGTTCCACTGGTTAATTGTTCTAACTGTCAGGAAATTTCTCCTTAGTTCTAGGTTGCTTCTCTCCTCGATTAGTTTCCATCTGTTGCTTCTTGTCCTGCCTTCAGGCGCTTTGGGGAATAGCGACTCCCTCTTCTTTGGGGCAGCCCCTGAAATAGTGGAACACTGCTATCATATCCCCCCTCGTTCTTCTCTTCATTAAACTAGACTTACCCAATTCCAGCAACCGTTCCTTATATGTTTTAGCCTCCAGTCCCCTAATCATCTTTGTTCCTCTTCTCTGCACTCTTTCTAGAGTCTCAACATCTTTTTACATCGCAGTGACCAAAACTGAATGCAGGATTCCAAGTGTGGCCTTACCAAGGCCTTGTAGAGTGGTATTAATACTTTGCGTGATCTTGATTCTATCCCTCTGTTAATGCAGCCAAGTATTGTGTTGGCTTTTTTGGCAGCTGCAGCACATGGCTGGCTCCTATTTATGTGACTGTCCACTAGGACTCCGAGGTCCCTCTCACAGTTACTACTATTGAGCAAGGTACCAGTGAGAGACTTGTGGTGGGGAGGTTACCTCTTTGGCTTTAGGCAGGAGGTTGGACTAGAAGACCTCCAAGGTCCCTTCCAGGCCTATGAACCTAGGAATAACAGAATAATAGAGTAGGTAGAGGCCTTGGAGGTCATTAGTCCAACCCCCTGCTCAGACAGGAGACCCTATACTATTTCAGACAAGTGGTTGTCCAGTCTCTTCTTAAAAATGTCCAGTGTTGGAGCATTCACAACTTCTAGAGGAAGTTGTTCCACTGTTAACTCTTCTCAGTGTTAGGAAATTCCTCCTTCGTTCTAGGTTGCTTCTCTCCTTGATTAGTTTCCAACCATTTGTGCAGATGATTTGTGTGAATGACACACTAAAAGAATGCAAATGACCAGCTGCCTGCCAGGAATAAAAGTCCTGTCATTCCCCACCTTTCATTCCCCACCATCCAGTCAGAGCTGAAGAAGCTTCTTGGATGAGAAGCGAAATGTCTTCAAAGGAAAAAAACTAAACAAGCAAGAAAGTCCCATTGCCTCGTAAAAAAGCATCTTTGGGATAACTACCTGTGTATTTCTTTTCTTGGATTAAAGCCGTTAATTTGGCCATCGCTGCAAGCTCCATCAGTTTTCTAATCCTTTCTTCCAATGCAAGCTTTTTTATATCGGGACTGGCAGTCTTTTCTGAAAGGGGGAAAGAATCTGATTGGCCCAAATCTATTTTTTTTCCCACCTCTGCAGAAGTGCAAGAGAGATATGGAGGGCGCTGGTCACTGACCCTTATGCCAATATGAAGATCATGAGACCACTCCTAAAAAGGCTCCAGGACGAAGATCCCATTTTGGAAACCGCCGGCAGAAGAAACAGCAAGTCAATTATGCCAATTGCGGTAAACCGTCAGCCAGCGACTCTGTTTTCCTTTTATCTAGACGTGGAAGGGGGAAGGGCTGAGCAGAAGGGTCACCTCCGGAGGCCACCCGCTCAGAGTTGGTGAGAGGCACGAGAGCAGGCTTGCCCTGGTTGGAGGGAGGCAGTGGGTAAAGTTGTGGGGGCTGAAATTGGAACAAAATTTGGGGTAAGGCACCCCCCAAAAGACCCTACTGGAGATTGAAGCGTCTTTGGGCTTCCTTGCCAGAAGCAGAGTGGTATCCATCCATCCATCCATTCATTGGTTCATCCATCCATCCATTTATTCATCCGTCCATCCATCTACCCATTCATTCATCCATCCATCCATTCATTGGTTCATTTATTTATCCGTCCATCCATTCATTGGTTCATCCATCCATCCATTCATTGGTTCATCCATCAATGCACCCATCCATCCATCCATTCATTGGTTCATTTATTTATCCATCCATCCATTCATTGATTCATCCATCCATCCATTCATTGGTTCATCCAGCAATCCATTCATTGGTTCATCCATCCATCCATCCATTGGTTCATCCATCCATCCATCCATTCATTGGTTCATCCATCCATCCATCCATTCATTGGTTCATCCATCCATCCATCCATCCACCATCCATCCATTGTTTCATCCATCCATCCATCCATCCATCCAACCATTCATCCATCCTTTGGTTCATTTATTCATTAATCCATCCATCTATCCACCCATCCTTTGGTTCATTTATTCATTCATTCATTCATCCATTGGTTCATTTATTCATTCATTCATCCATTGGTTCTTTTATTCAATAATTCATCCATCCATCCATTCATTGGTTCATTCATTTATTCAGTCAGCCAGCCACCCTTTCATTGATTTATATATCCATCCATCCATCCATTGGTTCATTTATCCATCCATTCATCCATCCATTGGTTCATTTATTTCATTTATTCAACCATTCATTGATATATTCATTCATTCATTTGTTCGTTCATTCATTCATTCCACTTTGGGACTTTGTAATCTAAGTCAGAGTTCCCCAACATTTCTGGGTTGGCGGCCCAAAGTGGGGAGGGGGGAAAGAGGGGATGCTTTTGTGGAAGAGGCAGGCTCGTGTGCACATGTGTGGGCATGCAAGAGCACCCTTTGCTCACGGGAGTGGGGCTGAGAGCACCCATGACATTCATGCGAGTGAGCCTCTGAGCGCCCACAAAGCTTGTGTGAGTGAGGCCCCACATGCCCACAGTGCTCATGCAAGCGGGGCACCGAGTCCCCACGACGTTCACGTGAGTGGGGCCCGGGAGCCCATGACACTCGCATGAGTGAAGCTGTACACGCGCGCATCAGCCAGCCACTCACATGGCCCAGTTGTGAATAGGCCACGGACCGGGAGTGAGTCATGGCCCACAGGTTGGGGACCCCTGATCTAAGTAACCTGATGAGCACAAAGTGACTCTCCTTTCCTCCCGTGTCTAGGCCACCAATGCTCTCTGTTTCATCTTCTCCATACCTGAGGCAGCTGAAGCTATCGAAAATAAGTTCCCTAGCCTCATCATTGGACTGATCACGCAGATCTACTTCCTGCTTGGAGGAAGCAAACGGGGATCAAGAAAACCAAGTACCATCAGTGAGAACTTAGGACAAGTCAACCCCTTGAGGTAAGGAATCTCCTCGCCCCAATCTGGATCTTTTCTCCATTTCTGCAAACCTCAGCAGACGCCTAGAGCAGTGGTTCTCAACTTTTTAATGCCGCGACCCCCCAACCAGTCGTAAGTCGAGGACTACTCAACCGGTCGTAAGTCGAGGACTACTCAACTGGTGCAGCACCGTTTGCAGAATGGGACTTTTGGCGGGTTCAGCAGGGCAGAGACAGTCTGGACAATTCCTATTGGCTTTTGAAAACCAATAGAATTAGACTCTATTCAAGAGAGTCTATTCAATTGGCTTTCAAAAGCCAATAGAATAAAAGGGAGTAGCACAGCTAAGGAAAAGGGGAAAAAAATGGCGGACTGCGTTGTTTGGCGACCCCCGTGAAATGGTCTTCCCGACCCACAGGTTGAGAATCACTGGCCTAGAGGTTTTTTTTCCCCAAGTCGACTTAACGACCACAACTGAACCCAAGATTTCTGTTGCTAAGTGAGACAGTCTTTAAGTGAACTTTGCCCCATTGTACAACAACCTTTCTGGCCACAGTTGTTAACTGAATCGCTACATTTGGTTAAGTTAGTCACACCGTTGTAAGGAAAGATGGCTTCCCCCCCCCATGACTTTGCTGGTCAGAAAGTCGCGAAAAGGGGATCGCCTGACTCTGAGACGGTCATAAATCTGAGTCACACCATCACGCGTGACCATGGGGACGCTATGACGGTCGTAAGTATAAGAAACGGCCCTACGTCACTTTTTTTTAAAATAATACTTTATTAATTTTCCAATTTTACATTTGAGTATTTAAAAGGCAACGTGGTGACTGGGTGAATCAATAGTTTGATAACAAAATCTTTAGTGAAAATCTCAGATTACAACATCAGATATTTCTGCTCTTTTTCCCTTAACATTTACTGTCTCGTATTCAAGCTAATACAATTCTAGTTATATCAACTCAATAAAAGCATCCTTATTACATTTATCGATACATTTTAGCTTATACATATCTTAATTACATTCAGTCTTCATAAACAATCCGTATCCCGTTATTGATTTTTAATTTTTTAATTTCTCATCAATATTCCAATTTAAGCTTTGATTTCCATAATTTTCAGACCTTGGGTAATCAAAATTTCCCTTATCTTACTTCATAACAAACTATAATATCCAAAATACACATTTTATCTATTTGAATGTAATCTTGTTCTATTTCATAAAAGTTATCTATTTCCCACCATATTAAATCATCTACTTAATAATACAATATCCCCTTTAATAAATCAAAACCATTTTATATATATATTGCCTGGATTAATCAATAAATCAAACATATTCATGATAATTAATTTTCTTTTCCCTTTTAGATCAATATTAAACAGATCGAATCATTTTCAACTGATTTCCAACTATTTTAAATCTAATAACTAAAATTCCTCTTATCTCAACATCTCCCTTTAACCCTTTAATTGACAATATAAAATCTCCTCTAATGAGTCAAAAACCCCAATTTTTTCAACCTTATTCTAGCTTTCTTCCTTTGCGTCACTTTTTTCAGTAGGGTTGTACTGTAACTTCAAACGGTCACTAAAATGAATGGTTGTAAGTCATAGTAACTGAGCTCAGACACAACTCATCTCCAGACTGACCCATAGACATTGACGCTGCCAACCAACATGGCTTGGTCCAATCATGGTTTTACTGGAATGCTTTTTGATCAGAGTAGATGTAAGCCGACATCACTATCATACCATATGCTGCAATCCTGGCTAACCATAAGACTCAGTGCTGGTCAGTTGGATGATATTGGGACGGATGCGCCCCAAGCACACTCAGACCCTACTTTTACCCCAAGTTCATGTTAGCCTGTGCAAACCATGATCTCTAATCGACAGACTGTTTTGCAAACTGATTTTCTCATTGCCTGCCTTTCGCCAGCGAGGCAGTCCCTGTTATGTAGCGCACACTCTTCAGAAGAATGTGCAGCCTTTCCAACATCTTTATTTCGTGGCTGCCGCTATCTCTTTTTGGGCCAGGTGTTTGTGGCTTCCGTTGTGGTTGTTTATTTCTCCTGGAGTTAAGGATGCTTTTTTGTGATGCCGAGCAAGGAAACTTGGAATTAACCAAACCACCTTGAGCCCTAATAACCAACTTTATTGCTGGAGGGGGAAGAAAAAAAATGGGGGGACAGGGCTGATTTTTTGTCGTTGTTTATTTTGTGTTAGGTTTTGTGGTTGCTGCACATGCTGCAAACTGAAACCTGACAATATCCTGAAAACCAGCGGGAGATAGATTGATGTCAATGCAAGCCTGGGCTTTATAGGGGAGGGGGGATCAGCTGGATGGTTGGCCCTGATTCTTGTTCCTTTGTCTGTTTTAGCTCGGCAGTGCAAGCCCTCAAAAATCTGATCCGGTGCGCTGGCTATCTGGAGGAGTACAACGCTCTGGGGAAGAAGGGCTGCTGGAGGATGCTGACGAGCCCTGACAGTTTATTTGAAGCCATTTTCCACCTGGTCCGGTAAGAAATTAAAAGTCAAAAGAGCTTGGCTATAAGTGGCTGTGTGAGGAAGAGAGACAGGGAAGGGGAAAGGGAGAGAGGGAGGGGAGAGAGAGGGAAGGGGGAGAAAGACAATGAGGGGGAGAGAGAGAGAGAGGGAAAGGAAGGGTGGGAGAGGGAGAGGGAGGGAGGGAGGGAGGGAGGGAGAGAAAGAAAGAAAGAAAGAAAGAAAGAAAGAAAGAAAGAAAGAAAGAAAGAAAGAGGGAGGGAGGGAGGGAGGGGGAGAGAGGTAAGGGGAGAGGGAGAGAGAAAAAGAGAGGGAGAAGGAGAGGGGGAGAGGAAGAGAGAAAGAAGGAGGGGGAGAAAGGGGAGAGGGAGGGAAGGGGAGAGAGACGGAGAGAGAGAAAGGGAAAGGGAGGGTGGGAGAGGGAGGGGAGAGAGAGAGAAAGAAAGGGAGAGAGGGAAGGAGGAGAGACAGTGAGAGAAAGAGAAAAAGGAAAGGCAGGGTGAGAGAGGGAGAGGGAGAGGGAGAGGGAGAGGGAGGGAGGGTGAAGGAAAAAGAAAGGAAGGAAGGGAGGAGGAGAAGGGGGAGAGAGAGGCAAGGAAAGGGGGAGAGACGGAGGGAGACAGGGAGGGAGGGAGAAAAAGAGGGAGAAGGAGAGTGGGAGGAAAAGAGAGAAAAGCAAAGGGAGCGAGGAGGAGAGGGAGGGAAGGGGGAGAGAGACAGGGAGAAAGGGAAAGGGAGGGTGGGAGAGGGAGGGGAGAGAGAAGGAAAAAGAAAGGGAGAGGGAGGGAGTGTGACAGAGACGGGAAGAGGGAGGTAAGGGGAGAGGGGGAGAGACGGAGGGAGAGGGAGGGAGGGAGAAAAAGAAAGAGGGAGAAGAAGAGGGAGAGGAAGAGAGAAAGGGAGGGGAGAGAAGGGGAGAGGGAGACAGAGTGAAAGAGGAAAAGAGATGGAGGTAAGGGGGAGGAAGAGGGAGGGGGAGAGGAGACAAGGGAAGAGAAAGGGAGATGGAGGGAGAGAGAGAAAGGGAGGGGAAGAGAGAGAGGAAGAGGGAAAGGAGAGAGGGAGAGATCAGGAGAGGGAGACAGATAGGGAGAGAGATAAAGAGAGGGAGAGAGAAAGGGAGGGAAGGGGAGAGAGGGAAAGAAAGGGAGAGGGAGAGAGGGAGGGAGAAAGAAGGGGGAGAGAAAGAGAGAGAAAAGGGGATCAAAGTGGGGGGTCAGATAGCCACTAACTTTTGCAGTGATTTGCATTCATTTGTCTAAACGTTGCAAGATCCAGACTTCTGTAGCCCATTCAATATCCACAAGCACTGTAAATAACCGCGTGCTTATTTTTACCCACATTAAATATCCACCTGGTTATTTTTTACCTTGGTTTGGATCTGTGTTTTGAGGCTTTATTGATGAACAGGTGTTAAACACCCAGGGTTTAAATGGAGGGCGAGCAGCCATAAAAATTCTCTAAATTCATTCAATCTCTTTATCGATGATTCAGATGGTGGTGTCTCTAACTTGGTGAGTCTTCTCACTAACCAGCGGATCTTGCCTGGTCTCTCCCGTACTTGATCTTTTAGGACACTGTTCACGTTCTCTACCGTACAGCTAAAGCTGATGTTTCGACAGGCCAACACATACCTTCGCCATTCGGATATCAAGGTGAAGACTATCGGGATGGCTTTCTTTTCGGAGGTGAGCAGATGTTGTGGCGCACCTCAACATTCGGGAGGTCAAGGAAAGTGGCCCAGAGTTCACGAGAACTTTATTGTTAGAAACTAGAAGTTATGGATGCTCCATCCCTGGAGGTTTTGAAGAAGAGACTGGAAGGAGATGGCAACTATCTCTCTTCAACCAGCCGCCCGCTAACTCACCGAGGTCCCACGTGGCCGGATGCATCCCAGCACGGCTGGTTTCCCTCCCCCCCCCGTCCCATCCCTCCTGGCCTCGCATGTTCTCCTTTTCCCAGGCACAACCCACTGCATAGCCGCCTCAGCTGTTGGCCGGCCGTCCAGCTCAGAGGCAGCTTCTCTGAACTGCTGGTGGTGGGCTGCGGAGCCCCAGAATGCACCGGTTGAGGGGCCGGCAGGCTGTGGCTGCTGATGGACACTGTCGGCCCCCGTGCGCTCACTGGCCTCTGTGTGCAGGGGCCGATGGTGTCAGGCAACAGCCGCCCCGGCCCCTGCCTCACCTTTCCCTGTGACAATGGCAGCCCTGCCCTGCCTCACCCTGCAGGACTAGCCTCCTGCGCAATGCCCCACCTGCCAGAGACCCCCTGGATCTCCCCCAACTCTGCCCGGCCCCCACAGGCATCCCTCCCCAGGAGCAACATCAAGGTGACCACACCTACCTTGGCCACACCTACCCAGTCTGCCATGACCACCACAGCCACGCCCACCCAGTGGGCCACGCCCACTTGGCACCTGGTGACACATAAGTGAGTTTGGGGTTGCTGTTTGAGCACTGGGTCTTTAAAAGGTTCGCCATCACTGGTATAGGATCTCCTGCTTGAGCAGGGGTTTGAACTAGAAGACCTCCAAGGTCTTCTGTTATTCTCTTAATCAGTGGAATAACTTAGGGAGGGAGGGAGGGAGAGATGGAAGAAAGAAGGAAAGAAGGAAGGAACATAAGAAAGATGGAGGAAAGTAGGAAGGAAGGAAGATGGGAGGGAGGAAAAGAGGGAGGGAGGGCAGGGGAGGGAAGGAGAGAG